AGTTGCCCCTGGATCTGAGTGCATTAAATAGTGCTGGATGTTATGACATAGTCTCTCTCAAAGCTCTTTCATGCCCTTGGCTCATTACTGTGATGGGGCTCTTAATGAAGCCGATTGGCACCAAATTTCACAATCATACTCCCGACAAGAAGAGCTTTGATCAGAACAAATGAGGTCTTTTAAATAAAACATTAGCATAGAACAAAGGCTGACTGGAAGTTCTGACCTTCACACAACACAGACAGGAAGAAGACCAGACTGATTAAAATGATTCAAATATGCAGATGAAATAATTCCACTGATGAGCCTCGTGCAGATTAATAATTTGACCACATTGCGGGGTAGATAGGTTTACCTCATTCAGACTCAGCCATAGTATTTAAAGTTTTAAGGTATGGTTAAAAGTGTTTTGTGTAACTTTTCTGGTGGAGGGTCCATCAAGTGCTTTTCTCTGTGGAGATGTTATTGCTTTGTCAGGAATGCTTCACATTATGGTATTAAAGCGTACTATCTTCGTGGAGACCAAGTTAGTCAGATCTGTGGAGAGCAGCCCCGTTCACAGTCAGACGGCCTGTTTTCTAGGTATTTTTGAGCTATAAAACAACCTGTAATTGAATAAATGTCAGGTAGAGCTGTTTAATGTCATAGTGTGGAACATTTCAGGCAGAGCAATGACATCTCCACGGAGAAAGGCTTGACAGACCCTTCACCAGAAAAGTTACGTAGTGCACCTTTAACTACAATCAGCGCACTCTGTGACAGTCTCCCCAACAGAAATGATGTAGTTTGCTGGAGGAGAAGTGTAATTTGTTAGAGATACATTGTTTCCTTACTTGATGGTATGGAATACTTGATGGAAGAGATGAAGGAGATGAGGAGGCTGGTGGAAATGCTGTTGAAGTGCTGAGGATGATTTTGGTATATCCATGTAGCTAAATTTGCTAAATAGTGGAATGAAGGATCAAAAATAGTTTTTATATGCTTTCTTTGGTGTAAACTGATTGAGAGAGCTAAGCTGAAGACAGTAATTTAGGATCTGTACAGCTTCATGTTTATGGAATAGAATATTTTATTTTTTTAAGTCTAGCAAGTTAGTAACATAAATGGACATACATTGGTAACAGAATTACAATTTTAGAGACAGTAGTTAAAGTAGTGTAATAGTATCATTAAATTTACGTTTCAAGCCATGAGTTTCAAATAACTTTTTAAACCTGTTTTCATCCAATTACGAGATGTTGTGTGCTCCCCTGCGAAGTTGTGCGTCTTCGAAACATCTTCTAACCTGGCTGGATAATTACTAGCACTCTTTGAGCAGAGCTATGTCTGAAGAACAAGAGTGGAGACTGGTGCATTGTGGGAAAATATAAGTTATTAAAATTATACAGAAAATAGTGTGGAAGATAGAGCAGATTAGTCTTACCCTAAAACATGGAAACACATTGCTTTAAACTTGTTGATGTCAATGAATTTTTAATCCTGTTTAGTGAATTCCACACATGTTCTTAAAAGAGACTTGTTTACCCATAAGTCTCAGCGGGTAGAACTCCATCTCCTTTGCAGCCACTTTCTTTCCACTGCCTTGCACCTTATGAACCTTATGAACTTGCAGTTTTAAACTTGCTGAAATAATGTTGCAAGAAGTTGTATTTTAGTGGAATTTGTTATCTAGAAACTTTGAATTTATAACTTTCTTAACTTGAACTAAATCTTTCTACTTCGCGACAAACAAAACTAAAGATAAAAGAAAAAAAGATTCAAAGAAAAGATTTAAAAAAATAAATAAAAACTCTGATTGGCTGAAAAATAATACACCTCCTTTTCAATTTACACATGGAAGACAATGTGCTTTTGAGGCGGTTTCTCCAGGGAATAAGAGCCAATCTTGTTTTCCAGCCAGGATCACTCAGCCAAATGAGACATGTCAGAGAGAAAAGGGTTTCCTCTCTCTGTCACGCTATTTAGTCAGGAGTTGTCCATTACAGCCCATTTTACCACCAAGAAAAAAAACCCTCATAGATTCAAATAAAGTATATTTTTAGAGCAAATGGTGGTAGGTAAATGGTAGACAGGTGAAGGTTAAGTGTTTGCCTAGTGTGAACATGTTGACATTTAAATAAGTGTTCTCTAGGTTCAGTCTCTTGAGAATAGTTGTCAATCTCAGTTGTAATCTATGTCTTCTTAGATTTCTCCTCAGTAATACACTAACTGCTGTTGACTCTCCCTTTCAATTGTAGCATGTTTCTTCATTTATGGGGTTTAGATTTTTTATTTAATTATTGTGCAACATTTTTTAACATTTGTGTATGACCTGGAGTCTAATCGTAAGGAGGACTGCTGCTACTATTATCAACGCCCACGTCATACCAATATCCACAATGTACTTTTATTCAAATATGTGATTAGATTTAATAAAGTAGAGATTCTTTATTGAATGAATCACACTGTAAAATCTTTTTTGTATGTTGCACAAGATTTAATTATACAGATTTTTTTTTTTTTTTTTTAGGTTAAAGACCTAATGGACTTCACACATAGTGAATGGATCCACAAGATTTTGAAAGAAAAACACAGAAGCCATAGCAGTTTTCTCTTTGAATTCACACTAAGAGACAATACTATCTTGACTACATCTTTAGGGATTTCAGCCAATCTCAGTTGTAAATCCATGTTCTTACTCATCCCATTTTAGTGAACACAGCCAAATGAGAGGCTCCTCCTCAGCTGGACCTTCAGCTTCTCTTCCCTTAGACACAGCATTTAGAGACCCATCCAGAGCATCCAATCTGGTCCAAATCCTGTCTTGGCATCAGTCCACTGTTATCTATCATAGGATCTGCATCTGAGCTGAGACAGATAAGACCAGGGGCAGTCTCCAGCCCGCTGTGCTTGTGTACAGAGCATGTTGGAGTCTTTGGGTAGTATTCAACATATTTTCAGCAAATATTGATTTCATTTTGAGAGGAGAAAATAGCCACAGCAGGACACACTGTCCCATCTCCACTGCACAAAACTGATGACATTATTTCAAGTGTTTTCAAACAATGGGCAGTCAGATGTAGAGAGATTTTTTTCTTCTTTAGAATATCTCAGACTAAAAATACTTCACAGAGAAGACAAAAAGACCAAAGAGTTTTCATAATAGCCATAATATGTGCAAAAAGAATTATGTTTTAGAGGTGAAGACATAAATATACACATCATATGACTTAAGCAATTGGTGTTATGATTTGTATTGCCAAGACATAAAATTGTTGTATTACTGAAGTGGTTTGAAACATAGTTCTTACAATATGCCAGTGGCTGGGCTCAATCCCAGTTTATATCAGTGTTGCTGTGTCCATTAGCCAGACACTTCACCCACCTTGCCCATGTAGACTTAGTTAGTGTAACTTTCTGATTGTCAAGAGAAGAGCTGTATAAGACAAATGTACTGTAAAATTAATCAACCTCTGTTCTGTTTTTGTTTAATATGAGAAAACAATAATGATTTTAATTATTAAACTAAGTTCACATTTAGCCTCTATAATGTTTTTTCTTCCTTTCATAAAAATAAGACTTCCTCACGGTTATTTTTGTTTTCACCACTGACAGCAGATAGCAGAGCTGGTACATGTCTGACAATTACAGTGAAGTTACAGGGGTTTGCATCAATACAGCTGTCAGAGGAGTATTAGCAGTGATGTGGGACTGAGGGTTCAAGAGGCTGCTTTCAGACCAAACTGTTGCAAATTGGAAAAGTTAATCCCGGGCTGCTCCACTGAAGCTGATATACACTGGGCTTTAACTCCACAGTGAATATGTTTGCTCTTTCCTTTTCCCCAAGTGCCTCTCAGGGCTGTGGTTTCAGCTGCAGCTATCTGGATTTTTGTCTCTGCTTCTGCACACAGCTTTCACCATGATCATGTAGATCAATATTGCAACTGTCTCACACTGCTCTCCATTTATCCACCTTTTGGCTTTTAATTAAAGGAGCTTGGTAGAATAGAAATTACAAGTGCCACATTATTTTTTTAAATTTTATTTTTTTTTCTACACATCTGAAGTGAAGAGAGAGTCTGCCATCTGTTGGGCTGTGTGCAATATGACATTGCAACAACAACAGTTGTTAGAGTCACTAGGCAGAACTTACAAGCAGACAAATACTACTAGGATAACGTAGACGGTCTACAAAAATCTGATTGCTATAGACAAGTTGTAAAATGTTTATATTTATACATGTAACTACACATTTTCCTTTGTGCATGTGTCTATAAAAAAAAAAGGCTAGAATATTGAATAAATAATGTGTAAAGTCAAACGATTTGCATTGCCCACTTAATTAATCTTGATGAAATAAATACCCCGCCCCACGTGATTCGGCAGTCACGTAATTATAGGACGGAGCGCGTTTGACGTAAACAGCCGATTGAACCCGTCTCCAAAAGTCATCAAACAGGAGCGTGATTTATTTAAAGCTGTGAACACGGGATGGCGCTGTTTGTCTGAATGCAATTACCACGCTGGAAGGAGAGTACAATTTGTCAAATTAGATCTACATTTTTAACTGACAATTTTTTCTAATAAGCCTGATAGTTCCGTCGCAAGTTGCGTTAGTTGGGCGAATGTGACCACGTTATTCAGGCCTGAACATGGTGAGTAGGTGTCTTTGTCCATTAAAACTGGTCTTTTCTCTCTTTATTGCTCAATTACCCAGTTATTTTCTGCTTTCTTAGACTGATGTGATGTTTTGTCTCTGATGAACTCAAAATTGTGTAACCATGGTGATATGCAGTGCACATGCAGAGAATGGAATCAGTCACTGACTTCACTAGCTGCAGGCATTCAAGACTCATAAACATAAGTCCTTACATTGAAACATTATTTCTTAATTACTTGAAAGGTTTCCTTTTAAATTAAAGACTACAAAATAGTTCCTTATGCCTGTTGTCATGTGACAAGCTAAATCCGGGTGTTAAAAATAACAAAAGTTCAGTAAAATAACAATTTTTTCCCCACAGATGAATTTTTCCACAAATGCCCCCAGTGGCACTAAAATAATGAAAGAAAACAGTCACCCATCCACCAAAATGACTGTATCCCAGTTTCAGCAGACCAGCAGGCAGAGGACTGTGCTGGGTGTCCTGAATGAGAATGAGCAGCATGTGCGGTCCCATAGCCAGGTACAACACAATGTCACCAAATAAACCATGCCCTAGCCTTATTTGTATTATGATGGCATATACTGGCATATTTCTCCACAGGGCAGCCAGTTCTCCAGGCACAGCTCGCTCACTGAACGCTCTCAGCACACATTTCTCTGCTGCACCTCCAGCTCCAGTTCCGAAGTCTACATAGAGGAGGCCTGCGAGGTGGTGCTCGACAGCTCTGGGCAGGAAGAAGTTTCAGATGACCAAAATGAAGCATTGAATAATGAAGATGCAAGACTTCTGCTGGAGCTGTGTTCAAGTAATTTTTAATTGTCTTTGATTTCTTCTAATTTGACAAGAAATCCACTCCTTATCTGTAGGGCTTATTGACTCTCATTATAACCCTAAATTAAAATTAAATCAGCTCTTGAACCTTTTGGAGTATAAATGAAAGACACAGTACAGTTTTAAATAAATGCATTTTGACAAATGTTGTTATTTTTTCCAGGTCTATGTCAGGATGTGTCCATGCATTCTGAATACAATGAGTTCCATCTGTCAGACAAGGTTCAGTGTTCAGAGTATGCTGAGGACATCTACCGGCATCTAAGACAAAATGAGGTATGTAATGTGTAACTGGAGGGTTCACATGTATTTTCTTTATATAGCTTTTTATAAGTCTTTTTACAAGTCTGCGTAATTGTGAATGTGGACTAGGGCTTCATCTATTATGCTTTACCTACTTTTGTTCTTCAAATTCATTCAAACTTACATTCAAAGTTTACATTTCAAACAACATTAATAACAAGTATTCTGTCTGAATCATAGACTGTATAAAAAAGTGGACAAGACCAGCAGTTATGGGGCAAATTTGGAGCTGAGTTCCATATTAGGAATAGGAATTGATGTACAGACAAAATAGTGAATAAAAACACCAGGAGAGTGGATTAATACAAACATTTTAAGACCAAAATGAGGAGCCTGACAGCAACAGTGACAGAAAGAGGGGTGACATTTTTTAACTAGGAGTCAAAGGAGTTGGAAGCGTGCCCATGGCCACTTCCTATTTGGGCAGCAGCTACCGGGTTACCTATGTCCATTAATACAGGTCTATGATCTGAATACTACATAGCTGAGAGCCCATGTTCATATAATTCATGTTCTGCTTTGTTCTCTTCTGTCAGGTTCAATTGCGCCCCCTACCGAATTACTTGGAGAAACACCCGGAGATCACTAATGACATGCGCATCATCCTGGTGGACTGGCTGGTGGAGGTAGCACAAGAGTACAAACTTTGCTCGGAGACGCTATACCTCGCCGTCAATTACCTGGACCGCTTCCTCACAAGCACCATGTTTATCGAAAGGGGAAAGCTGCAGCTGGCCGGCACGGCTGCATTAATGATTGCCTCGTAAGAGAAACATCACATACACCTTTGGGTACAAGTAAGAGACCACTGCAATTTTAGACAGTCCATCTTTTTGGGTTTGGCATCCAATCCAGGCCAGTGTATGGAATTCACACAACTTCAGACTCCAGACTAGCCAATTATAATTCCCTCCTGCCATCTACTGGTAGAAAAAAATTAAATAAACGTATGGGTGGTAGCTTAAAGGCCCAATATCTGACCTATGTTATAAAGCTGTTTCCTCATCACTAACATACCTAGAGTTGTGTTTTGCTTCATTCACACGTGTTTAACACAAAAACCCTGCAGCCTTAGTCTGAGTTCTTCACTTTGTGATGTCATATGATAATACAGGTACATCCACTGTGTTTTTAGACTCCATACACATTCACTAGGATGATTTCAGCCCAGGAATTGCCTGTCTCTACTAACCCAAAGGAAGGGGTAGCTGTTAATTTGAAAAATACAACTACGTGACATCATAAGAGCATTTTGAGCTTTGGGGATATATAATAATAATTAAAGATTACTCAAACATGTGTGAATGAAACAAAATACAACTTCAAGTATGTTTCTGAGGATGTAACAGCATTCTAACATGGCTAATAGCTCATAAGAGTAAATTTTGTGTAATACAGGACCCGTTAAGTTTCTCTCGTATCAATTTAGAAATAGTTTAACCTTTTCAAATTGTGGCAAATTGATAAATTATCTATAATGCAACTCAAAACATAACTTATCTTGCTATGGTTTCTAACTTTTTGAGCTGTACTGTACTTTTGAAATATTTTGTTTTTTTTGTGCATTTAAAGTTGTGTTTAAATATTTTTGATATTGAAGCAAATATGAAGAGTGTTTTCCTCCCGAGCTGACTGACTTTGTGTACATTACGGACAGCACGTACACTAAGAGACAGTTGATTCGAATGGAGCACATTTTTCTAGAAGTGCTCACTTTTAAGTTGACTGTCGCGACTGCAAAACAATTTCTTCGCCAATTCCTGGTAGTGCACCCAGTCAGTGTTACCACAGCAAATCTGGCCATGGTAAGTAAAAGTGTGACTCATCTGTTGTTAGGTAGAGTTCAAACTATTTTTCTGTTGTGTCTTTTTATGCATTTTAGTATGTATCAGAATTAAGTCTGCTGGAGATTGACCCATTTCTTCAGTACACACCGTCTATAGTGGCAGCTTCAGCCTACTGCTTAGCCAATTACACAGTGTCCAGGTCTCTGTGGGTGAGTTCAGATGGGTTATATACAGCCCTATGGCTATAGTGAAGGTCATAGCATAAACCAATCACTTCTTCTATTTTAGCCAAGTGCATTGCAAGCTTTTACTGGGTACACTTTATCTGAAATTGAAGACTGTCTGATTGACCTCCATAAATTGTACGTAAAGGCAGAGAGGCTCCCTCAACTGGCCATGAGGGACAAGTACAGGAGTTCAAAGTAGGCTACTGCTGCTGGCTCATGTATCATCATCATTCGATCTGTCCATGAGTCAATGTTTGTTTTGTTGTTTTAATTCAGGTATTGTCGAGTGTCACTGATAACTGCACCTGCCACTCTGCCTTTCTAATAATCCACGGTTCCACACCCAAGCTTCAGGATAATGACAGAAGACCTGTGATACATTGGCCACACCCACATAAATGACATTTGTTGAAAAATAGCCTTTTGGCACGTTTTAATGACCTATGAACTTCAATATGGCTTTATGAATAAACATATTTTCTGTAACAGTATAATAAATTACAACATCTTATTCTGTACCGTATTAAATAAATAAATATAACAAAATATGTGATTATTTCGAGTGGCATTATTTTGGTAGGCTATTTGCATAATTGTTATTACGCACAGTTTTATTTAGAAGAGTTTATACTCCGCTATACAGGCAGATACAGAATCCTTACAATCTTTGGATCATGAAGAGACTGAAAGTAAAACATTGTAGCTGCAGCAGTAATAGGCGCGTCGTGTCATGGCTGTACTGGTAAAACCTGCTTGGTGAAGTTTGACAGCAGCCAGTGGCGCACATATCAGAGATATTTTTCATAGTGACTCTAAAGACTAGAGCTTTGTTTAAATCGGAAACTCTGTAGACGCACAGCTTTCCTCGCACCTGGACCAGGAGCTACTCAGGAGCTACGGTTAGTCTACCCATTCTTTCTCATATTTTACTTCTGTTTAATTGCTGTTAAGTATACTAAGTTGAATAGACTTCAAGAGAACGTTCACCTTTGAAATGTAATAGTAAGTTGTAAAGTAAAAGTACTGTAGTACCATTTAAAATATAAATTCAAAATGTACTTCAAAAGGAAACAGTAAAAATATTTTCCATATTTAGAGAACTGTTAAACCATTAAATATAGCTGATAAAGAATTGTCCTGATTTTTGGCCCACGGTAGCAATTCAAATCAATTTCTTATGTATTTAAATATGAGAAGTAGGTAGAACAGATACTTTTTTACTTTAACTTTAGGTATCAACCCTAAAACAGTACAGACACCTAAAAAGCGAGAAGTAAAGTATACTTAGTTACTTTCCAACCCCTGGTTTCAGAAGTTAACGTTTTCTTACTGCATTATTCTCCTTTTGAGACAGACACGAGTGAGTTGTTGAGGATGAGTGTGCCGGCAGAGGTGCTGCTGATCAGAGACCAGTACGAGTCTGCCTTCCACAGTCTGGATCGCGGGCTGACAGCAGAGGAGGCTCATCACAAATCAGATGCACTCTTGTATTACAGAAAAGGTCTACAGCATCTGACCCATGGCCTCCAGATCCCCACAGTGGGGGACAGATTCCAGGGACAGTGCTGGGATAATGCCCGGCAGCTCCAACAAAAGATGAGGAACACTTTACAGACAGTCACCACTCGCATCCATGAACTGGAGACATCTCAGGAGGTGACAGGAGACCAGAGGAGCAGATTGTTGATGAATCTGCCCCAGAACTCTTACCCAGATCTGGGGCCAAACAGCCAGCCTCCAAACAGCTCCCTCCTTCATCTGTACCCCTCTGTACCTGACACCAACCACAACACCACCCCAGTGCCCCCTCCCAGGCCTCTCTCTCCCAGTGTCCCTAAAGAGCTTGCTACAGCTCATCCTGCTACAGCCATGGCTAATCCAGCAGACCAGCCACCAGCTTATACCCCACGGCCCACAGTCCAACACAGCCTCTACTATGATGCCAACAACAAACTTGTGGCAGTCGCAATAAATGAAAGGGAACTTATTCACATCCCCGCAGGGGTGCAGATGTTTTTTGTGGCACCAAACGGCCAGGTGAGCTCGCTGTTTGCCCCTGGATTTCTGCGCATTTTTACCAGGGATTTAAAGGAATGGGACTCTGGGCAACCTTCAGCATTTTTACATGTAAGTGTCACTCACACATAGGTGGAGGCGCAGAAACATTCTTGTGGGTGTGTATGTGAAATTGTACAGCTTTGTCCTAGTAATAGCTGAAGAGTGATAAACAGTACAACACAGAAGAACTGCCTACTTATGTTTTTTGTGATTATGTAATTGAGATTTGAATGAGTAAACTTTATGTGTATGAACTGTAACTTCATTGGTGTGCCGCTATATTTGTGGTCAGTTCACATTTCCTCAGATAAATGCCAATGTTGTGTCTAAAATTCTCTATAACAATTGTTCTTTCTATCTTATCACAAAGCTTGTATTCTGAAGGGCTATCTGCTGCTGTGTAACCCATGACTGTTGTTTCCACCATGTGTCCTTTTTGTTTTGGTGCCAGACAATGGTCCCATTAACAGATGACTCTGCACTTCTCTTGTGGCCCGACACTGGTCAGCATACCAATGGGCAGTGGCAGCATGTGGAAATACAAACATTCTTTATTTATATATCAAATTGTATACAAATGTTAATCATTAATTGATTGGACATCAGCAATATTCTTAGGATTACAGGTACACTGTTAATTATTTTGGAAGTTCAGATCTGTTGAACAAATAGTAAATGGGCCTAGTTGATGGAAAACATTACAGTATTCAACATTTCAGATTCAATACATGCAAAAAAAACCAAAAACGTTATTATTGAAAAAAATGCCCTAGACAGAAATACTTTCCGGTGCCTTGTGCCAAGAATAATTATTGTAAAGCACCCATGTATTCATACTTAGACTGAATTAAAGCATAAATTGAAAGCAAACTTATTTTTAAAAGCAGTCTTTGCTTTTCCAGGTGTGTGAATGGCTGTATCCTCTGGCTCGTGACACTCCAGTGCTTTTGGCAAACTCAGGGATCTACATGTTCCCTGACACTTTGACCACAGTCCCAGGGACCTTTGTGGGTATTGTGCTCTCCTCTGATCTGCCTGCTGCAGACCATGAGCTGTTTCAGGATGTCCTCTCACAGCTCGTTGAATTCAGGATTCAGGTCAGTGTCACATGTTAAAACAAGGAAGTGAAATCAGTGGGTTGATATTACAAAACATTATTCATACTGTGGTTACTTACACACAAAGCTCTTGCCTTTTGTAACAAAAATAAAAAGTTTCTTTGGTTACCTATAAAATTGAAGCCATATTGTAGTTTCAGGAAAATTTTTATATATATATATATTATATTATATATATTATTTTTTTTTTTTTTAGTTTTGGCAGGGTTGTGTGTTATTTATTTCCTAATATTGTAACAGGAAACTGATTAACAACAATTATTTATAACAATGTGGTTATACCAATCTCTGTGGTTTGATTGCATTGCATAAACATCCCACTTTATTTCAGGACTCAGAAGGGGTTAGTTCAGACGTGGTAAACCTGAGCCAGAAAGTGCCCCTTCTTCCACCTCGGCCAGGAACAAAAAATGAAGAGCAAGAAAAACCACCTCTCCCTAGCTGGAGTGAGAAGATGGCTGAACGCATTCTGCATGGTGTGTTTGTAACACTAAGTTGTAGCCTTTAATGATACTTTCATCTTGGTGTGGTTTGTATGCAGAAGAGAAAAGTGTTCAGGTTTGACAATAAGATGCTCTTCTATATGGAGCTCAACAGTCCTTTCCACTTCAAAGTCGGATCTGGTTCTTTTTTATTTTATTTTAAATACAATTATTAGTCTTGTGGTCATTTACCACATAGCTGATTAAAACCTGCACAAGCTTTCAAACTTTTAAAATTAAGCTTTTTTTCAGAAAGGCTATGAGAAAAATGAATGGGAAATTTATTTCCGATGTTGTCACTGTTGAGCTCAACTGGTTATATTATTTTATGTAGCTACACTTGTTAACAGATTGAGTACTATCTAATGTAACTTATAAAGGTTCACAACTCCCATTTTATTTCTTTAGGAGCATCCTGGCTAAGTGAAGAATTTATAAAAGGAGCAGATGCTACAAGTCGGGCCATTCACAAGTCTGGGTTTAAGATCCGAGATAGAATTACACCAGAGGAAACCCCTTCAGAGGTCAGCCCTAAAGTCACGAAAGGACTGGAGTCCGCCAAGGCTGCCACAGGGGGAGCTGTGCGAGTCAGTAAGTTCTTAGGTAAGCAAGTACAGTACTTTTCACTGCTGTTTACATGCTATAGTTGATTATGCAGTGTAATATTTGGTTCTTTGTTTTTATAGTTGATGGAGTAAGTACAGTAGCAGGCCATGTGGCAGAGAAAGTGGCACCACATGTAAAGAAACATGGAGCTAAGTTGGTTCCAGAATCATTAAAAGGCAAAGATGGTCGCCCTTCTAACTTTGATGGAGCGAAGCATGTTGCTGCCAGTAGTGTACAAGGTATTTCAACTAGACATATTTTCCCATTGAATTAAAATACTTTGCACCAATTCACAATTCACAGAAGCCTATTCAATCTTTTAAACAACCAAACCAGGTCTCTCTACACTCTGGTCAAGTCTGGAAGCGGGTGCAAAGGTTGTTGGAAAAAGTGTAACTGCAGAGACAGTAACAACAGTGAAGTACAAGTAAGTTCTTTATGAATACAGGATTAGACTGGCGCTGAATTGGAAAAAATGAACTTGTTAACTTCATTTTCTGTCTATTTTGTTGAATGGATTGCCTTTCATTTCTAATATCTTTCAGGTTTAAGGGCTTAGAGAAACTGCTAAGCAAATCCAATTCCACTTGACTTCTCTGGGGAAAAGGGCTAACATCTGGGACTTACAACTTTCTATGTATTCTTTTTCTTTTCTCATTATCAAGTCATTAAAGATCCATATGATTATTGTGAAATTTTAAACAAATAACATATTTAACATTCAAGAATATATTGTGCGTGGAATGATCTTTTTGACTTGGTGATTTTCAGTTGTGGTGGGTGCTTCTTTCTTGCTCTGTTCTTATATGCTTTGACATTGATGCTTGGGCTACTATCAGTCTTCTTTGCTATTTGGTAATAAATAATCTTAAAAATTATGACTTCTGCATTTTATTTATTAAGGGTGTCTTGCCAATATTGCATTCTTCAATTAAACCCTTTACAATTGTAACATTTAAAAATGACATTACTCCATATGACAAAAGGTATGGCGAGGATGCTGGAGATGCCACAGACACTGCCCTGAAGTCAGTGGTCAATATTGGAGTGACTGCTTATAACATTGACAACCTGGGAATCAAAGCCATCATGAAGACTACTGGAAAAGAAACAGCAAAAGCCATGGTGAAAAAAAAAGATGGAAATGAAACAGAATGGACAAAGCCAGGGAGCCCTCAGACTAACACAGAAGCAAAGGACACACAAACGAAATCAGTGGAGAAGGAGGAAAAGAAATAAGCTTATGAGTTGGTTTATTTTTACCCTAAATGTAGGTTGTTAATGTGAATTTGATGCACAGCACATTTATATCTTGATTACAATTTTGTAAAAGTGAATGGTACTTAAGATATTTTTGTGTGCTAACAGGATTGATTTATTAGGACGATTTAACAGACTTAAAACTACAGACTTATATATCAGTGTTTCGTACTAGGGGACTTAGTTAATATTACATTTTCTCTGGAGTACATTTTGCATGCTGTTGTTTTTGCAGAATGGTTTGGACATTAATTTTGGCTGTCTGTGGTATAAAATAGAATAAAATGCTACCTTTCTTAAATTGGACTGGTTAATTTCTATCATAGTTCCATGCATCTGTGATTAATAGTGCTCTACTTCATGCAGATAAAAAACCTCAACAAGAAACTGGTTTGTTTACATATATGTTCCCACTTCCGCTTTTACCGGAAGTTCGCGTTTCCATGGAAACGCCGAGGCCCAAACTTCTTTTCAACAGTGCACGAGTTTACGTCAGATTTTCGGAAACATGACCGGAGATAACGAGTATCACAAATACGACCTGGTCCAGCTTCAAGCTGAGCTGGAGCAGGAGAGGGAAGTCAAGTAAGATTCTGATTTTAGCTCTTTATGATTTATATTGTTTCTGTGGTGGAAATGTTGCACAGTTTTGTTTGGGTCTCAGAGAAATGCTAGAGGAGTCTGTGGCGGATCTAAGGAGCACATTGTGTGAGCTGCAAGAAAGACTACACAGTGTTGACGGAGAGGGTACGTGCACTTTGTTAGGCTATAATTTGCTAATAATTAAGGCTACACTATAACCTAATGCATGAGACAGTAAGTGGGATAAATGCACAGCTCCTCCTCCTCCCTCACGTAAACAAAGAGTAAAATGTTCAAAAGCAATAAAGTGAATAACGTAGCCAAGAATCCCACAGACAGGATTAGATTTTGAATTGGCACGTGTTTTTGTGTGTTGTGTTGACCACCTATCTGTCCAGGTAATGAATGGAAGACAAGGTATGAAACACAAGTAGAGCTGAATGGACAATTAAAACGACAAAACTCTCTTATAAAGGAGAGATTAGAAGATCTACGAGGAAACCCTATAGGTAAAATCAAATGTTTTAAGAGTTCTCTGAATCTGTAATTTACTTCATTGCGATGGATATGTAACAGTCCGGATCTTGTGTGTTGTTCTTTTCCAGATCGTTTGGCCTCCATACGCTCTTATGATGAAATGTCAATTGTGAGTATAATTTTAATTTTCTAAACATTTAATACTGAAATAATTTCATGTATGTACGATTTTGGCGTTGATCTTGTAATATTGAAAACACACCAGTAGAGGGAGGTAGACATACACTACCTATCAGAGTTGCACTGACAGGAGCAATGCTGCCAGCTGCTCTGTCTATGGCTTCTTGTGAGAAGCTGAGTAAACCCGACTTTAATCAGTGCACTGTAATCAGAGGATTACAAACCATGGGAGAGTAATGCACACTAATTACAATGCTTTAACACTACACACACTGATACAGGCTCAGGCCATTTAAGTCTACTGGACCACAACCAAATCACAAATTACAGTTGTACCTGATGCAGTAATCGTTGTATATTTTTAAGTCATACAAACACTACTGAAGGAGCACTATGCAACCATATCGGCCCCCTGCTTGTCTCATGAATATATTATTGTCTGAAATGTTCCACTGTATAACATACTTATCAATCATGCTATTACACAGTTATAGGTGTTTTTTGTTTTTTTTGCTTAAATAAGCACACACACAAACACACACATCTCCACAGATGTGACCTGTATCTCTTCTCCAAACTCAGGACCTCTTCTGGTTTACAACATTTTATGATTATCCACAAAGCTGCTCTTTCTTTGTTAAGTCCATACACCTTTACCGCACACAGTACTTCTTTACTGCCTTTGTACATGCAGCAGTTGTATTTAGTGTGGGTCCAATTCCTGCACTGTGGCAATGCAGTGCACCATTAGTGTTCTTGTGCCCTCTGCTGGTTATACATTTTACATAACAGTTGTTCTGTATACATAAGATCTATATTTAGTACATGTAATACCAGCTAAGGTGTTTAAAGGTACATCATAAAGTACTAACCATATGAATGAGTTTATTGTTGGTGTCTAAATAAGGCCATGTTGAATATAACAGAAGACTAACACCTCAATAGTGGAGATGGAAATAGAAAGTCTATGTGGGGGAGCCTGAGGCAGAAGTAACAGATGCTCATTAGTTTATCTACAGAGTGACCATGAAATTCTGGATTATTTATGGAAACTCAGATAAAATGTGCTATAAACTTACACAGTTGGGTCCGGTCAAGTGGGCCTATTTTTTACATTCAAACAGCTCTTATTCAGAAACTAGAGGGACTATTGAAATATGTAAGGTATCAGAATGTAGGAAAGAGTTAACACTCCAACAGGGTAAAGTTAAACCTGCAATATTCTTTCAAGTTGTTGACAAAAAAATGTAAAAACTCATGTCGGTAACGGAGGGAATGAAATATGCAGCACTTTTTGGGCAATAAATACAAACAGCGATAACTACCGGTTCTCACTTACATATCCTTAACAAACTGGTTTGAGTATTTACTTAATATAGTTTTCTACCATATGGTACAAGATTAGGTTGAAAAACCTCTTACTTTTTGAGTAATGAGATTTTTTATTAAGAAAGGTCATGGTAACGGAGGGAAAAGTAACGGAGGGAAAATTGTGCAAGCAAGTAGAAGGTGCATGATTTTGCATAAGTTGTCAGCTTTTTTCTTACAAAAACTTTAATATTACTTCAAAATGAAATTTTGACCAATTTTGAAAGTTAACCTGAAGAGGATTTGCAGGTCTTTGAAATTTGGGAAAGAATTTTTGTTCAGGACCTGAAAATTGAACATGTGACATTGTCTGTTTAAAACTTATGTAACTTTAGAACCAAAAATGGTACAGAAAAAGGTAAACAGTTTCATAAACTAGAGTACATATGCTATCTGTTGAATAGATTTTTTATATCAGATGCATTAACTTGAATTTTTGGCCTTGTTGTATACTTCTGTTTGACCGGACCCAGCTATAAATACAGCAGGATATTTAGATTTAGACTTATTAGATTTATTTAGAGAAACTTTACTGATCCACAAGGGAAATTATTTGGACACAATAGCTCACTCTTCACAATATAATATAATAAGAGCAAAAATATAAATGATGATAATAAATACAAAATAAGTGGCAAAAATAGCAAGAAACTGGTGTCAAAAAAGAATAATGACACAATTTGTACAAGTAAAAAAAAAAATCTGGGCTATATACAAGAGGTGGGTAAAGAGAAACAGTGCAAAGATGAGTAATGAATAGTGATTAACATAAAGTAAAGTTGTCATGATATATTTATGTTTTTACAACATTACAGTCCTTCCACCCTGAACATTTACTGAAGTTTTAGCCCATATTGTAAAATAATAAAATCTTTGTCTTTAGGAAACATTGAGGCAACGACTGAAGCTTCTGACCAATGAGAAATCAGAACTCCAGTCCCAGCTGAAAGACTGTCATCACCAAATCGAACTAGAGGGCAAGGTAAAATGCATGATTTAAGACTTATTTATTTTCTGCTTTTACTAATCAAATAATTTCTAACCTTTGTCTGGTATGTTAGGGTGTATAGCCACCTCTTTGTTTATTGTTCCCTTGAAACAAACAGAACTTGTGTGAATGAATATGTGGCACGTGCAGCTCTAATCCTAATCTGCAGATCGTTAACACTGAGGAGCTCCTCAAATATGTGCAGCCAGCAGCCCCACCATAAACCACTGCAGACAGATTATTGCCGATAAAACAATCATAATCCCTGAATCCAACCGTGTAACTGGATCTTGTGTGGTGTGTTTCTAATCCCAGGCATTTCATAAAACCAATGATGAGAGGCGGGCCTATCTGTCGGAGATAGCAAAGGTAAGAAACAGCCAAGAAAATGTTACCAAATGACTCACACTTTTCAGTCTATATTAGTCTGGGCACATTACTATTTTTTAAAATTCAGAAGGTAAAAGCTGTATACCCGATTTTGATCCACAATGAATGACACTGAATGAACACACAATAAAAATATAGTCGCAAGCTGCAATAACGGGCCCTTGCCTGTACCTGAGCAGTGCCCTTGCACCTTCAATTTCCCTCTTTGCATTACACCCACTGCTAAATGTGAGGCGCTAGAGAGCCTAACCCTATCCTAACCTAACCTTAACCCCTTGACCTCCTAACACTTAACCCTAACCTTACCCTAACACCCTAACCCTACTCTGACCCTTACCATCTACCCCTAACCTCCTAAACTTTACACTAACCTGACCCTAACGCTACCCTAAACTGACCCTAATCCCTGACCTAACCCTAACCTAAACCCCCTAACCCTACCTTAACCCCTAGCCCCTAGCCGTCTTCTCACCTTGAACCTATCCTAACCCTGACCCTGACCTCGAGTTTTGTTTGTCTAAGACAAAATTCATTTTGTTCAGTTTTCTAAGAAAATGTTGTAAAAGCGGACAATTTTGTTGAAAATTTACCATGATCACACCCAAAGTCATATTCAAAATGTAACTGATAATCTTTAATTGCACATGGGTTCTGTGTCTTTTGGCCAAATTTGCAAAAGCTCACCAAGCAAAACTTCAAATCCAGTGATGGTGATCCAGGACAGAAGCCAATGTCCATCCATGTCTGTCTTTGAAAGCTTCATATATCCAGAAAGAAAACTGAAGAAGACCATCTGGGCTGTGTTCTGGACAACCATTTGTGATTCCCACTTTTGACACCAAATTGTGACAGAAAAATTACATATCTCTTGATGATAAATTCATTTGCCAAGCCTGGTGAGGAGAGAGCAGCTCTGTACTAACTCTGAGCTCTCTCAGGAGGCTTTACTGGATCAGAGAGCACTTCTCTATAAAGAGTCTCTGCTGCACTGTATTTGGAGTCTCAACTATATCAAGGAGTGGCACTGCCTTGTGAGGTTCTACTGTGTAAAGAGTCTCTACTGCATTTGGGAGCTCTTTTGTATTTGGAGCCTCAACTGTATCAAGGAGCACTTCAGCATCAGGAAGATCTACTGTGCCAGGAAGCTCTACAGCATTAAGTAGATCTACAGTATCAGAAATCTCTTCTATGTAAAGAGTCTCTATTGCATTAGGGAGCTCCATTGTATTTGGAGTCTAACTGTATCTCAACTGTATATTACAGTGTCAGGAGGCTCTACTGTGTCAGGGAGCTCAACACTGTCTGGCGACTCTACTTCATCAGACTGTACTGTATAAAGAGTCTCTACTGTGTCAGAGACCTTTACTGCATCTAGCAGATCTTCTACTGTATCATGAGCCACTACCGTGTACTGTATTGTATTTGGAGTTTCAACTGTATCAAGGAGCAGTACTGCACCGGAGAGCTCTACTTCATCAGACTCTACTATGTTCTACTGCACCAGGGAGCTCTGTTGTATGAGAAGTCTCGGCTACATTAGACTCTACTGTAACAAGAGCCTGTACTGGATCAGGAAGTTCAGGACTCATTATGGGATCAGAGATTTCTGCTTTAAAAATCTGGTTGAGATCAGGTATCGGCTCAGCAGCGATGTAACCAATATCAGGAAATGGTTCAATATTAGGGATTGCCTCAACTAGTTATTTGTGCAGTTCCTCTGAGAGTTCCTTTGGCCATTCACTGTGGAGGTCCTCAGACAAAAGGTGAGCTGTGGAAGCTCCTCAGTATATATATCTGCGGGAAGCTGACCGATTTCATCAGCTGAGGCAGTGGTGATGACCTGAAGCACACTTTTGCATAGGAACTCAAATTTACAAAAAGTTGTTTTTCTGGAAACAGCTGAATGATTTTTGCAATGATGTTCTTGACCATTTGATCCTGAAAGCAACGATAAAAGTAGCACTGCTAGACCATGGAGAAGATGGATTTTTCAAGCCTGTCCAGGACAGATTGGGCCATTGAAATGGTCGGAGGAGTCAGCTCTTTGGATAGCATGCTAAAATATGGAGCATCCACAGGAGGCCTCCACAGGCTGAATATGAGGTTAGGGACCACCTCCAGGACCACCTCCCTTGGCTGAAGCAGGCGGGGCATCTCCTCTACATTCTGGGACAGCAAGTCCGCAAACCTCTCTGCCACGTATAATAGTCTTGGATGTATTTGTAAAAGAGTCAAAGTTAGTTGAGCATAAAATCAACTATAATTAACAATGTTGATCTAGACACTTACCTGACAGTCTCAGGGATGTTTTTAGGGTTAATGACTAACCCCGCTGCCTCAAGCACAATGTTGAACATTCTGAGGCTAAGACTGATTACATTTCAAGCCTGAGACAATGAGCACACAAAGGGTGCATAGAAGGCTTGTAGAAAGAGGCTTGCTAGATCAGAATAAGAAAATAGTTTTATTGCCATTGTCAGTGGATAAAATGTACAAAATAGGAACTTGCTTTGGCAGTATGGTGCAACATAACAAATGAATAAAACAGTGAATAAAATATAAATATTTATAAACATTTGTTTGAGTAATGATGTCCATGAGCCTTGATATTTATATGTTAAGGCACAATAACAAATAAAGCTAAAAGGCAGTGAAAGTGAAGATTCAACCAGAGACTACAAAAGTGCACCCACACTGTTGAGTTCAGCTCTCAAAATGAGCCTGAGATGTGCCTGGTTTTGAGGAGCAGAAAAGTGTAGTTTTAGAATGGAATCTTCAACCATGGTTACTGCTGTTCAGGCACATGTTTCTAACCTGTAAAATGGTTTCCTGACATTTTTATGAACTTGTGAAAAACACAGTGGAAAATAATTAAAATTTTATTTTTGATAAACCAATGTGTAAAAAGTGCAAAGAGTTGTTTTTTTTTTTTGTTTTTTTTTGTTTTTTTATGTAAGAGTAGCAAGATTATTTAGAGTATTTTCACATTTTAAGTCCAAAAAGGTAGACCATTTTACTTGATAAAAGTTTTTTAATTAAAGTAATCTTAACTTGGCTAGATTTCTTTTTTTTTTTTTTTTGCAGTGTGGTGTATTGTGAAAGTTGTTGCATATGCAGAGCTTGCAGATTCTTGCTCTACATTTTCTCTCTAAGGCCTAGTTATAATTTCTCATTCATCCTTTTGCTGCTGTTATGTAATAGGTGAGAGCTGAACCAGATAGGACGTCAAGGGCGTTCAGCTATAGATTTCACTTGTAGTACATTAAAATGTGTTTGAGAACAACTCTGTATCCTGTAACCTTTACAGTAACAGCTCTGAGCCCATATGACACTATTTTCTGATATATGTTATAATGTTGTTTCCTCATCAGAAACATACTTGGAGTTGTTTTGTTTCATTCACACATGTTTAACACATAAAATCTGCATATTTAGACTGAGTTGTTCTCTTTAACAGAAAACTGTCTGTTGCACTTTGTGATGTGATGTGGTGAAACAAGAAGTGCTCTACTATGTTTTTAAACTCCACACACCTTCACTTGAATCATTTGGATCATTTCAGCCCTGGAATTGCCTTGCTCTACTTATCTACCGAATTAAAGGTAAACGGCAGCTGTTAACTTAAACTTACACTACATGACGGTGGAACAGAGCATTTTGAGCTTTGGAGATATAATGTAGAGAAGGTTTCATCAGTTGCCATCTGGACTCCTTGAATCCTTCTCAATATTGAATCACTCCTGGATTAATCAAAGTGTTGCACCGTCTCTTTGGAGATATAGACAGACTATAGTAATAAAGGGTTACTCAAACATGTGTGAACAAAACAAAACAAAACTCTGGGTATGTTTCTAACAAGGCAACATCATTCTGACTAAAAGCTCACAAAAGTCTTTAAAATCTAAAATATATCACATGTAGGTTGGGTCAGTTAATATTATCTATATTATTTTTTGTTTGTTTGTTTTATTTACTTATTTTTATAGTTTTATTTACTTACAGTTGTCTTCAACACTTGAAGTCCAAAGAAGACAGTACACCACCCAGCCACACAGACCAGTTGAAAGCAAACAGAGGTGAGGAGAAAAGAACTTAGTAGGAGATAATAAATATAAAAAGTGTTTTGTTTGCATATCTTCAGATTAGAACTGTTATTTAAGATTCCTGACATGGGTGCAGTGCTATATGCATGATACTACAGGACTTTACATTTGGTCAAACCTATTTGGATGTAGTGCTTTCCATTAGTTTTGCCATATAAAGAATTAAGACTTCTCTGCAGTTGATGCACCTTGTGAGGATAATAACAAATATGGTCAAATAAACCTGCTTGAATTTAAAACACATGTTCTGTAAATGGAATTCACACATTTACACTGAATTGCATAATTTATTCATTCTCATAGGCATCTCTTTGAATACAGAGTGAAGCCAAGAAGCCGGAGAGTAGAGCCAGAAGGGCCTGGAGGTGCTGTGGGCGGAGCCACTGCCACAGGAGTTACAGCTGAAAGGAAAAAAGAGAAGAAATCCCAGAGGGGGAGCAGGTTACCAACGCTCAAACACTACCTGAAACATTAGCCCCAACCAAATGCAGATACTGAAGGCCACTGGTACTCTCTCCATTACAGGATTCAACAGTTCTGTGCAAAGCCTTAGAATGCGTTCACATTTGCACATTCACCACATCAAAAATGGGGCCAAACCCAGAACAAAACCTGGACTAGATCTATACTAAACCAAGACTAACAGGACCAGACCAACTCCACGCACTCAAAATGGGACCAAACAAGGACCAGACCATGATTTTGCACGCTTAGTCATGTGTCAAATTAAATATAACATTTCAGGAAGAGATTGCATAAATATCCATCTATAGTTATTATGCATTTAAATATAGGAAGAGATTAAAAATTCAATTATATTGTGGTCAACAGAAATAGCATTTCACATTTGAACTTCAAGTCTGTTATTCTTATCTATTACCTGTATGAGTGCATTGTAAATAGGCAGGAATGATATTTTGCACAAATATATATGATTAAAATGTGTTGACAATGAACAATATAATTCTGTGTGTGTCATAAAAGCAACTGCTGTTTTTAAAACTTTTATTTTTGCCCAGTGTTGTACACTGTAAGACAAAGTACCATATTAAACTGACTTCGATCACCATGAATATGAATGAACCTATTTCAACCACAAATCCACTCTTTCCCTTCTCATGTTCTGTTGAGTAGAGATCATGAGTAAGATTACATGCTGTCAGATCAGGAGATCGTCTGCTAATGCATTTGTAGCCTGCTGAGTTTGACATTTTCACACATTTTTTTCTAAAGGCACCTCCCACCTCTTGCATTACGCATCACCACGCATCATCCAACGCTTTCTTCAAGTGTAGTTCACCCACAGAGCAGCCAGCCAGCTCCTGTTCCACCTACTGACCGCCTTTTCACACGTGGGCACAAGAAAAGCTTTATTCAACTAACTGAATTTTAACAAGGCTGTTTTTTGGAGTTTGAAAGATGATTTTCTGTCAGTGTACTGTAAAGGTTAGCTTTTACTACTAAACCTGCTACTGTAATATTTTTCACTATGACTTGACTATGGATGATGGTCGGTTGACTCATATTGAAAGGTTTTCAAAATAACATAATGCGTGCCCTATGGTAAATGCCAAGCGGCAGTTGCCATTATCGAAGTGGAACCCTGATATGTGAAATCTACCATATCTTGTCTATATGTTGAACTCATGGTTGACATTTAAGCTATGATACTGCATGCTGTTTTTTGTAATTCAGCTTTTACAAACAACAAAGTTTGGCATTTCTTTGGACTATTTTACACACTATTTAGTGATGAAATACAATGAAACAAATTGTCGAAAGCAATGAAGCCAAGCAGAGTTTTGGACAAGCTCAAACTGACTTGAATTAAATTAAACTGAATTTACTTTAAATTTAATAATTTAAATGCAGTGTGGGAAAAATAAAAACTATTGTTGAGAATATGCTACTGGTCAGATCAAAAACTCAAAAATGCTTTTACAAAGCTCTGCAGATCCAAACTTGAGTTGTGCAGAACTGGACTTTTGATCACTCTGGTTTACATTACACTTACATTATTATATATATATATTAAATGTGTTCAAAATTGGGTACAGGCCCTTGCCCATATATCAAAATACCAAAAATAGTCATATTTTATCTTTGTAAGTACAGTTACAGTCTCCTTTCTTCTAAAGGTTCACTCATATTTCTTAAATAGCTGGCTAATCTCTGCCCCTCCTTAATATGACACAGTGACAGGCTGTTAGACTTAGATTAATTACTTCATTTAAAGATAGCAGCTTGATGTTGAGACAGAGCAAATCCACAGTGTCGTCTCTATGTGCCTTCTCCAGATTTATAAACCAGCCTGTTTTAGTTTGGTTCACTGCTATGTGCCCGTGAATCTTGGAGCGGTAGACTGGGACATCTTAAGATGACAGGTTACACCCAGTGACAAATAGCTCAGAACCAAACTCTCCCAGTGCTGTCTGTCTGTCGTCTTGATCCAGTCAGTGCTCTGTGTGGCTCCGTGTGGCTCCGTGTGACTCTGTGTGACTCTGTGTGGCTTTGTGGGATCTGTGTGACTCTGCAAAAAGAACCATGTGTGAAGCTGAGCACATGTACCTCTAAATAAAGTTTCATTTGTTGTTTATTTAATGCTGCTTTTTTTCCCAGATCAGTGAGATTCAGCTGTAGAGTGGAGGGAGTTAAATCTATTGTCATTGCCTGACCAGCCAGTCCCTTATACATTCTGTCTTTGTAAAGTTTTGTCAAAGTGTGTGCTTCAGGTTAGCCTGGTATGTTATGTCATGGGAAGCATTGTCAGAATTGTCAGCAGTATTAGTATTAGTAAGTAAAATGCCATGTTATAAAGTTGATTATTACATGTAGAGATGGTATGTATAAAAAGAGGCACCACTTTAAAAATGTCTTAGTCATACTGCAGGGGTAAATATTCCAGTCTCATTTAGGCACTGAGCCCATGCACTGTGGAGGCAAATGTCCAAAGCAAATGTCATTACTACTGGCCACTGTTCACAATGTGACTGTTTTTTAATTGAACTTGATCACTCCATTAAAGTTCTGTCAAACTCTTCTCAGGGGAAGTACCAGTGATTATAAAGATTGCAGTCTGACGATTCTATAAATATATACAGTAGTTATATTTGTATGATGCTAGAAGGTCTATATACACTATCTTGTACATGTGATCATACGTGTACTTATGTATGATTATAATGTTTTTCTCCTGTGGTGGAGCAACAAATGATATAGTTCCTCATGCATATTGATTTGTTGCAGGTTTATCTGATGCTCATCTCTCATTATCCCAGGCTGGCATTGCCACAAAGTGCCAGTCCCAGAGAACTCCTCAATTTTCCCAATAGGTTGCTCTATCAAGGTACACCTTAGCACCTCATTTGAATTTACTTTGTTTATTTGTATGATAGGGCTGTAAATTCTGCCACATTTCTTCACAGTGTATATTTAGCAGGGACAGTTTTGTCACTGTTCAGTTTGTGATGCACAGCGGAGTCCCACACATGCACCAAAATAGATCCTCTTTTTAAGGAAAACTCTTCAGCTTCAGTCACTTCAAGATTTGAACCATAGCTTTCGTCATTCATAAACTTCTCAAAAAGCACTATCCTCTCTGCTGCTAATCTCTCATGATTAGTGGTCTCCCTGGGGTTGTCTTCTTCATGTAAGATAAACACAAACGCTCAGAGAGAACTAATTATGATCGTGCTGCATAATACTTTGAAGCTGCACCATATTTTGAACTGATTCTGAGCGCCTTGGAGACTTGCAGTGTACACAATGGAGAACTGTGTTGCATAACATTTCACGTGCCACTATGCCACACTTAAAGCTGCTCTAGTTGTATGGTTTTACTTAAAGGTCTAATGGCACATTCAACACACAGATTTCACATACTACTCTATACTCTTTGTGTCTGCCCCAAAACTGGAGAAAAGGTTGAGTTATTAAGGGACACAAGTGTAAATGCTGGAGATGGTCCAAGAGAAATATCTCTTTTTTTTTCTGTAAATCACGTTGAATTGCTTTGTTTAGGACCTACACATGTGCTATAATAAACTTGACGGCTTGTCTTATTCATAAAGGATTTGACAGACTGGCCACTCCATTAAAGCACTGGTCAGCACTGCGTCCAGAACAAATGCCGTCGTTATAATGGTCAATTAAAGAGAATAATGTAGAGCCGCCCAGCTGATTTATCCATAGATGGGGGTGAGGCGTGCAGGACCAGTCGCATCCCAGGCACGGGTGGTTAAGCGTGGGCTCGCATCCTAATGAGGTGGGGGTGAATGAAAATCACGACGCGAGTGACGTGGAAGCGAGAGAGACCGAGCTATAGAGAAACAGAAAGAGAGAGAGAGAGGAGGTGGTGGAGGTAGGGAAAATATGGGAGGGGAGACAGCTGCTACCCAGTGCTTTTCCAGCCCGTGACTGCTCCTCGTGCGCGGTGTGTGGTGGAGTGGACCTCATCAGACGGACAACAAAGGGGCACACGCCGGCTTTAAGGGGGTAGGCTACTGCATTGTGGACCCCTCTCTTTACTCTCTGAATTATAGTTTCTTTGTATAAAGAGTTTCATTAAAGACTGTCACGCTGGAGGTTACCGAGGAGTTGATCTCTCGAGTTGGTAAGTAGGATAATAATTTCATAATTCATCACATAATCATAACAGTACTTTTATAAGAGATTAATCCAATCAATTATGTGCACTTATAGCATCCTTATGTTTTGGGGCCAGGCTCGTTGTGTTATTTAGTTTTATATCAATCTTTTTTTTTTTTTTTTTTTTCTTAACAAAATTGAATAATGTAGACTATCAAAGATTCAGTAAGCTCTCTTCCCATATCTATTCACAAATATCTGCCAATTTTGTAACTCTGCGTGAACGTACGCAGTACCACTGCTAAAAACAACAACTTGCAGTCAAAGTACAACATTTAGGCTGTTTGGTTGTTTTGGAAACCCCGTGTCAAATGGCTTCGCTGTAGTGTGGCATGGAGCTATTGAATATTTATAAAGTGCCTATTACAATGGGTCTCCAATCGATTCGTGATCACGGCTGCGTGTGCGTGCCCCCGTCCGTCCCTCTCCTCCACCTGCCCCATGTCAGACGGTGTAGCCGTAGCGCACTGTCCGCTGTTCGGCTTAACCGCACTTAATCTGTCATTAGGGGGTTATTTTCAGACGGGCACTCCGCAGACCAGACGTACATAGCGCCACGGTCGATTGTTTGTGTTGACTTTGATAACTTTTTACATTCTTATAGATATTTCTGTGGGGTTTTGCAGATAGTACCGGTGTCCTTGTAAGCCTCGGATACGCCATGGAGACGGAGCACTTTGACGATCGGGACAAGGGACAGAGGCATAGCCGATCTAGCGCCAAGATGAACGGGGTCATGAGTCCCACGCACAGCGCCCACTGCAGCCTGTACCGGACACGCACCCTCAAGACCCTCAGCTCCGAAAAGCGAGCCAAGAAAGTGCGCTTCTACCGCAATGGGGACAGGTACTTCAACGGGATTGTCTACGCCATTTCTGCAGACAGGTTTCGCACTTTTGACGCCCTCCTGGCTGACCTCACGCGCTCACTGTCCGATAATGTGAATCTGCCCCAAGGCGTGCGCACCATCTACACCCTGGATGGGTCCAAGAAGATCTCCAATATTGAGCAGCTTGTGGAAGGTACTGTATAGAGTAAAAATAAAACCAACTTGCTATGTCTATCCCCAATGTATCCTATGTACACACGCACATCAATTATTCAAAATGCATAGGCGATAATATAGTATCCATCTCTGTATATAAGAGGGATCATTTGATCTGTTGTTTTCCTGGTCTTCTCAAATCTTGTGTGTTGAGGACAACCAAATATAAAAAGTATTGTAATTAATAGAACCTAACTGTTTACATGATACAAACAACTCCTCCTCAAAGAGCTATTTTACTCACTGCCTAGAGCCAAACATACTTTTGTGGCTTAATGATTAACACACTATTAATAGGTGCAGTATTGTTGAAGGCTTCAATTTAAAATTCCAAATATAGTGACACATTCACTATACACTTTACATTAATGGTAAGATTCTCCTTAGATTGAACATAATGAAACTTACCTGTGATCATTCTTAATGTGTGTCATGTGTGTTGTTTATAAGTATTTGTAATGTACAGCTGCAGTTACAGATTTGTGAGGATCCCAATTTGGCTTTTGTCAGACTTACCAAATAATTATCCATATTTCTTCCCTTAATAACAACTATACAAAGTTTCATATCAATGTAACAAAGTGATTTGCTAAAACATAAAGAAAAAAAGTCTACAATGAAATACAAATGCCCAAATACCTTTGGCTTTATACTTTTACCTTTATACATGTTTGTGAAGTTTTCTTTGTCCCAGTATTTTTATGACACATAAGAGCTGTGTTTTGGCAGTTTGACAACCCTGCTGTTTTTTCCAAACACTTGACAGGTGACAGCTACGTCTGCAGCTCCATTGAAGCGTACAAAAAGTTGGATTACACAAAAAACGTCAACCCCAACTGGTCCGTGAATGTCAAAGCAGCAGCAGCTTCCCGTGGGCCTGCGTCTCTGGGCAGTGCCAAGACTCAACAGGAGTTCCGGGAATGCAAGGACTTCATCCGCCCCAAACTGGTTACCGTGGTGAGGAGCGGAGTCAAGCCCCGTAAAGCTGTCCGAATCCTCCTCAACAAGAAGACAGCACACTCCTATGAGCAGGTGCTGACGGACATCACAGATGCCATAAAGCTGGACTCTGGAGTGGTCAAGAAGATCTACACACTAGAGGGGAAACTGGTGAGAGTTTACACAACCTTACACTGCTTTGTTGTTGTTATGGTAAACACACATATCAAGGCATTTGCTTTGTTTCGGGTGCAATCATGTCACTAATTTAAATTCAGAAAACACTCCCTAAAAAATTGAAGTTAGCAAAATCAATTGTAGTTTGGTAAAGGAGACATCCACCTTTTTGCTATGAGATCATATTATATAGTTTTATTTTACAGTTTAAAAACAATTAATGTGCTATGTCCAAGAGCAAAGGTTGCTTTTGGCTAGGTGCTAACCAAAGTTGTCAAATTTTTGTTACTTAACCATGGGTCCTAAAGTAGTGGGCTACATGAAAAAGTACATTTGACTGAACGTATTGCATCAGGTAGCTGTTCTGTTATAGGTTGAAATACTGTATACGAACATAGTTACTTGGTTGTCTTCTGAAACTGAAAGATGAATGCGAAAAATATATTGTTTGCAGTGGTGAAGACTTAGCCTAGTACAGTGATATGGTTTTATTCCCCTTGTTTTGGTCAGGCACTGTAGTTCTATTAAGCACTGTAAAACTCTAAATATCATTTATGTCGCCTCCAAAGCATTGCTTGCTTTATGCAAAAGTAGGCCTATTTGAGGCCAGCTTTGAGTGTTACCATGGCATCAAACCATTGAAGTTCAAGTTCAATAGCCTAGATATTGCAGATTTTTAACATGTAAGGTGGAGTCTTATTTTAGCATTATATCTGAATGTGAGTTCCTATTTTACCCTATCATGTCTTGCACAAAATGATTTTTTAAACGTGTGTGGCATTGCATTAAGGTCAGTTAAAAGGCATAAGGATCAACAGCATAAAAGGCATCTTAATATTTAATGTCGGTGCTCATTCTTGTAGCACGAGGCTTTTGTGAATGAAAAGCAGCCATGCAAGGAGAAAGAACAAAAAGGGTCCACAGTTTAAACTGGAGGGTTCAGCTGACTAAAATCTATGAATGGAGTCGGAGTCCTCTCCCACTCACTACTGTTACCTCAAATACAAATATCACAACCCCCCTGATAGTCCACCCACCTTTTTCATCTGCAAGTCACTGCAGCAGAGCTAGGATATAAAAAGACTGAAAAGACACACACTATATAACGAGGTAATTTGTCTATTACTGCTACTATTTAGGCTGTTAACACATTATTTCATATAGGGGATGTTAAAGATTCTAAGATGAAGCAGGATATGGAATGGATATATCCGAAGAAGAGCATATGTTTTGTTTTGGGGTCAAAGAGGACCAATTTAGAGGTACAGAGGAGGGATATGGAATAGTGTGGTAGAAAGAGACTCAAATTAGAGCTGGAAACCAAAATAGATGTATGGATATAGTGAAATTTTGTTGTTTATTTGTTACGGAGACTTCAGTACAATTAGATTGAGGCAAATGATTCACTGAAGAAATTGTGTCTTTTTAAAATACTCTTGGCAACATAAGAACTCATGATGAAAGATATTATTTTGGAACCAATTGCATTTGACGTCAGGCTATTCAGCGTCACACAGCAGTAATCATGCTGTAAATGGCTAATTTGTGAGTCATTATGATGAATAGAGCACATTTGCTATAAAAGTATTGCCACCTTGTGCTTCTTGTAAAAATATATCTCTTTCCTTATGGTTTATGAACATTGCACGGACATGCCTGTTGAGTCATCTTCTGGGTCTGGAGCTGTCCGTTCAGTGGTGCTGAAGTGAAGCGAAACTCCTGTCTTTCCTCTCAACTTGTCTTTTATCAAGGTAGCTAGCTAGAGCAATTATCCTCTTTGCATGTTTGCCGTATGCTTAGATGCCCTTCCACAAACCAATCCAACTCACTGTTTATCTAAGTTTGTACTTTTGATATTGATAAGATCTGAAAATTCTCTATCCTTCCTTTGTGGTGCAAGTGGCACACTTTTTCATCAGCATTTTGTGCGGTCGCCATTGGTTACTGCTGCTGTCCGGGAGATTACACAATAATTGCAGCTCTCGCACTTCTGTATCAGGGAGGAGGACTGTTATGGTTAGGCTATTTTTAGAAATTATATTGATTGGGTCTGTAGGCATGGTTACAATACGGCTGCCATTGTATGGGCAGCTTCTTTACTTGTGCATCAATACTATTACATTCAAAGATTATTGTCAACTCTTTTATATAACTGGAAAATAACAGCAGCAAGACAAGCAAGCACACAATAGCAAATGTTAAAAATGCATCCCAATAACATACTAAGTCAGTTTAAGGAGTGCAGTGTTGCTATAGGACTGAGATGTGGCCCTTTGAAACTATATTGTCAGTCCTACATTATTGATCAGCAGCAGCCGTACAAGTAATTAAGTGAGTGTGCGTTGGTTTCAGGTGACTTGAGGGGTTAAATAGACAGTGCATTTTGCATGTAGGCATGAGCTCAGGCCTTCTTAGCTGTGTCACTGATGCGCCTGTGAGCTGAAGTAGGTTTCTAGGCCTCTGTCAGCTCTCTGTAGACCCAAAGATCCTACGCAAAGTCTTCAAGATGGCCTCCTGCTTTCATTAACCCTATAATGAGGCCAGAGGCAGTGGGCTACAGCTCACATTTGGACCAGTTCTCTTTTTATCCTCGTAGTCGCGTCAAGGCAGCTTAAATAATTGATATTTTGCTTAATAACTGATTTACTATTTTAAGACTCTTTGAAAATGCGCAGATTAGGAAAACTGCCAACTCTGGAGTAACCAATGATGTTTCACTGTAGGTATCATTTTTGATCCTTGTTTGAAAAAGTGACAATGTCATATATACAGTATGTTTATATTGCTTTTATTGAAAGAAAAGTCATAAATAGTAATAGCAATAGCAAAGAAATAGTCAGATTTGGGTACATTTTGTATTCTGACCTTGTTTAAAGTGATCTGTCTTTGTAAATTATATAGAAAGACTAATGAATTGTATAGGATGTGTGTATTTGAGAGGACCATAACAAAGCATTGGTAATTGTAATCCAATTAGAGTGAACAGGTTGTGAACAGGTACCAGAGTATTTGATATGTCCTGACACTTTCCCACTCAGAACGCTCTTCACCAGTAGAAATATGAGACCCAGAACGTGTCTGTGTATTTCTACTGGTAACATGAGACATAAGCTGAGGAAAGCTATATATCCTGTTACACCACTGCTGCACAGTTTTATCTCTGGACTTTACCTAAAACATTGTATGTGAGTACATTTAATAAACACGGCCGTATTTATGAGGTGACACATTTTAAGAGATTTAAACCAAATGAATTAATTTACTTCCATTTTAGTCAGAAGTGTTCATTTGTGTGTAGAAAAATACATTCATTTATTAAAAACGTAACACCTTTTCTCTCATTAAAGCTGCACTATGTAACTTTTTAGTTGGGGGTCCATTACCTGCTTGTTTCTATGGATATGTCATCTCTCTGCCTGGAAAGTTCCACAGTATGACATGAAACATTTCTTAAATTACAGGTGGTTTATAGCTCAAAAATACCTAAAAAAAAAGGCATTGTGACTGTGAGTGTGGTCGCCTCTCCACAGATCTCAACTGTAATGGCATGGTTTGGTCTCCATGAAGATAGAAAGGTTTATACCATACTGTGAAACATTCCAAACAAAGCAATAACATCTCCATGGAGACAGGCATTTGACGGACCCTGCACCATAAAAGTCACACAGTGCATCTTTAACTTGCAATACAACTTTATATGAACAGACTGTTTGGTTATGACATCATAGCTCAGAGCGATGTTGTCATAACTCAGAGCCAGTGATTGCGTGTGCTGTGGATTTGTCTGATCAAGAAGTTAGACCGTCTATAAGTGGATTAGTGCACGGACATGTCGGCACTATTAATACATCTAAGCTCTGTTTACACACAGGCTCCAGTCTCATTCTCACACATAGCGACTACTTAATCCACTACTGTTCACTATTGTGCTGCAATAAAGAATAAAATCGGTGTAATCTCTCATTTGTCCAGGAGTGGTCCAGAGTAGATAAAGTTTCAAAAGTGTTTTTCACAGCGTTTTTGAAATTGCCATCCAGCTGTCATTTTCAATCCATGGTACAGGACCGAGAAGCTCGACATGTTTTCTGCCCTGAACTAGCCCTGCCTTTAAGGAGGAGTTAGTCTGTGGGTGAAATAAAGCTTAGTCTATATTCATAGGTTTTGTTTCAGCTTCCTGTTTTTGACATTTTCACCATTCAAGTATTTTTTGCTTATTAATTGCTACATTATTTTTCAATCAGTCAATCAATCAAACTTTATTTATAGAGCGCGTTTCATACAAAAATGCAACACAAAGTGCTTCTCATGACTCAGAATCCCATAGGCATTATTGGAATTTTGTATATAAGAATCTCATTTCATTTTAAGTCTCTGTTTCAGTAAATTAGATCTCACACTAAACTAACTTAAGGGTGGTGGTAATTTTAATATCATCATATATCACTAGAAATTGTTATTGTGGATTTTCATTGCAAATAGTTTAGATGTTGACCTCCCCCAATATGTTATATGAAGTTTTTCCAAAAACACAGAGAGTTCACAAAATGTCCAGTTTGTGTCCCATCTAAGATGATTCTTCAATGGATAACAGCAATGTAGAAGTTTATACAAGATTTTCCTTTGCTTCTTGGTGATGAGATATTTGTGAGGTCATGTCCATACATTTTTTCATGGAATATTGTCAATAAAGTCGGGCTGCTAACAGAGCACGAGTAGGGCTCTGTTTGGGAGGTGCACTTGTGGCGACAGTCGCTCTTTTTCCTCGACCACTCATCATAAGGCAAGTTTTATTGAAGATGAAGCCAAGTAAGTGCCTTTTGAAAAGGTTTTCAAAGTTTGGTGTGCAGCGTCTTCACTTACGCCTGCTCAAGCTGCCATCTTCGGGTGCTGGCCCTGTCCTGCCGCTTCCCCAGTTTAGGCTCCTGGCACCACTAATGACATCACTCTGTTGCAGCCAATGAGATAGCGACAGGGGTAACCCTCTTGTCATATCA